ATTCTTATTTTTTATTTTAATAGTCACATTGTTTGCAGTGTAGAGCCAGAATTTTATTCAGGGGTTTTTAATTTACAATCACTACAGAAATCATCCATTACTGATATAATTCCGTGGTCAATTTTCTACGGTCTCTGTATCTCATTTGAATATGTTAGAATACATTAAGTATAATTCGGTTAATCGTCTATTACTGGAGCCAATAGAAGCTGTAAGATCAAAATAGAATGCAAATTAACACTGGTGAGAGATACGAAGAGAAATTGAAAGCCGTGCTTGAGGTTGTGAGTTACAAGAGAGGAGCTAAGGGGAAAACGAATAGGCACTTTGATCGTAGGGAAAGAAAGCCATTTGAGAGCGCTCTCCATTTGGGCAGTGATTATGATATTGTTGTCAGAGTAAAAAATTTTATAGAATTATTGTGAATTAGTTATGATACTATCTGAACAAAGCTTAAATTAGGAATTGTTTGTCTATTTTTTATTAAAAAATAAAGCTATTTTTTTATGTAAATCTGATCCTTCCACACTTAATGCTTTAAAACTGGGTGCAAACATAAAAAATTCAATTAAAATGTATATTTACAGATATTCAAAATAACATACATACTTTTAGATCATTTTGACAAAAAATTTAATCATATATCTAAAAAAGAATCATAGCACATTTATCTTTTATGAATTTTCACTATGATCTGAATGAATTCCTATTACATCAAATGAACTAAAGCTTTGATTTTTTACATTTCAGAAATTTTTTATTGAACCGAAGTTTCCAAAAATTTCATCATTTTCATTAAAAATATTTTGGATTGGAATGTGAGGAGCATTGCTATTTGAGTACTATTTTCATAATTCCCATAAATTTACTCCCAAAATAAAATCCTGTTTAAATAAAAAAAAAGGTGGAAGAAAACCCGGCGAATTAGAGATCCGAGGTACGATATCATCACCAGACGATCCTACCGAAATCCACAAGCTTCCTCGATCGATTCGCCATCAGACACGGCGATAACTCGTGAACCACAGCGCCACCGCCGCTACCACACCGGCGATTAAACGTTCCACGCTTCTCGCTAGGAAAAGACGTCTCCGGTGGTGCATGTCCCCGCCTATTGGCGGGGATTGGCCTCACCATAGGGCTCAGGCACAGCCCAAAGCTAGAAAGTCTGCGGGGACTCTGCTGCCGCCACATTGGCGAAGGGATCGAGACACCTCGGCCTGGTGACAGCTCCGCGGCCGGTGACATTCCACGGCCGCTGACAGGCTGCACGTGTGGGGATGCCCTCTTATTTCTCTTCCTCCGGCCGAGATTTAGCGCCAGGAGCCACGAATTATTAGATCCCGAGGGCTTGGAAAGCCCGGCACCGGATTCGGCTTTTTTGGGGCCCGGATTGCTGCCCCAAATTGGAGACAAAAGGGAAAACTTCCCGACGGCTCGATTCTTTCCGGCAGCATTAGAGAATGGGGATAGGTGACAGAGGAGTGGCGTCGGTGCCCGCGGAGCAGATGAACGGTCGGGATCCCAGTGATTTTCCGGCGATGAGGTTTCGACGTGCCCGTTGGAAGAGTCTGCGACTGCGAGGGATGAGAGGCGTTCGCGGAGACAGAAGGGGCAGACGCCGATGCCGGAATCAGAAGGGTGGGTTCTGCACCTCATTGCTTCTTCCCTTCCTCCATCACAAGACGATAAAGGAAACTAGAAAGAAACTCGAGCTATACTGGCTGCTTTCTGCCTCTGCTGAAGAAGTTTCATAGAAAAATTAGTGAATCATTCCGCGTATTTATATCTGGAATTTTAATAATCGTGCACCCGCGGAACTCCGTAACTTATAGGGCACCGGAGGCCGCAGCCGTTAAAGTTGGTTTTAAAGATGGCGTGGAAACGTTTTAGATATTTTTCTTTGTTGAAAATATCAGTGTTTTAAAAATTGGACCGGATCGGTTTAAGATATATCTTTTATTATAAAATATTTATCTTCAAATCATCATGAAGCATTTCACATGGAGTGGTGGTACCATGTGAGCTCTTAATACAAGAGAACTCAAAATGCTATATAAACACTAAAAAGAGAGTCTTCTCAAGTGATGTGGGACTAAAGAAAAGAGTTTAAAATGAACTCATAAGTCATAACACATATAATGCATA